GGGGGAGGATGGGGATGATGGAAAGGAGGTGGAGCATGAGGAGGACGAGGACGGACGAGGAGGAGAGAGTATGGAGGAGGAAGCCGAGCAGCAGCAGCAGCACCATGGGGAGGTGGAGGGAGGAGGCTGGAAGGGGAAGATGAGGCCGAGGTCCTGTACGAGGCCGACGACGAAGATGGTGATGATGATGATGATGATGATGATGATGATGATGATGATGATGGTGCTGCTGATGATGATGATGATGATGATGATGGTGATGATGATGATCATGATCATGATGATGAGGATGTTGATGAGGATGATGATGATGATGATGATGATGATGATGATGATGATGTTGATGATGATGATAATGGTGGTGATGGTGACGATGATGATCATGCTGATGCTGATGCTGCTACTGTTTCTGATGATGATCATGCTGATGTTGACGAGGCGGAGGAGGATGAGGAGAAGGAGCAGGATAACAACGACGACGACGACGATGACGATGACGATGATGGTGGTGATGTGGATGAGCATGGTGATGCTGATGATGATGATGCTGATGATGATGATGATAATGATGATAATGATGATGATGATGATGATGATCATGCTGTTGATGTTGCTGCCGCTGCTGCTGCTGATGATGGCGACCATGATGACCATGACGGTGATGGTGATGGTGATCGTGATGGCGATGATGATTGTGGTGGTGATGATGGTGGTGATGAAGATAGTATTCATGGTGGTGGCGATCATGATGATGGCCACGAATATGGGTATAAGGATGATAATGATGAGGATGGTGCTGCTGGTGCTGATGGCGATGATCATGGCGATTGTAAGGAAGATGCTAATGGCGAGAATGGGGATGCTGATGATGATGATGATGTTTGTGATGATGATGCTGATGATGATGATGCTGATGATGGCGATGCTACCGATGGTGATGATGATGGTGGTATGATGATGATGGTGATGGCGGTGGTGGTGATGCTGATGATGCTGATGATGCTGGTTCTGGTGATGATGATGATGCTGCTGAGGATGATAATGATGATGATAAGGATGATGATGATGATCATCATGCTGGTGATGGTGATGGTGATGGTGATGGTGATTGTGGTGGTGATGGTGGTGATGATGCTGATGATGAGGATGATGAGCAGGAAGAGGGGTCTGAATGGCATGGGGAGCAAACTGCGACAAATCATGATGCGCCACGATGGTTGGGCCGGCGTTGATGAGGAAGACGACGATGCTGTTGACGACGATGATGACAACTTCTGAGAGTACGTGAGGAGAAGATCATGGCGAGTATGCTGCTGACGATGGTGAAGGGGCTGAAGAGGATGAGTAGGTCGACGACAACGACGACAAGAGGGGGAAGGAGGACGACGAGGAGACGGAGGATGACGAGGAGGCGTGGGGGATGAGGGAGAAGGAGCCAGGAGAGAACAGGAGATCTTGGAGGAGGAGGAGGAACAAATTGCCAAGGGCGAAGGAGGAGCATCGGGAGGCGGGACATCTGGGATGGAACGCCCGAGACGCCCCAGCCGCGGCGGCGGCCCAGAGGCCCCGCACTGAGGAGGGAGCGCTCGCGGTGCAGCCTGCCCCTCCCCCCGCCCCCCTATCGCTCCTGGAAGCCCCGACGATGCGCCTGCTGTAGGCCGCCGCGGCCCTCCGCTCCCCGCCCGCACCCGCCTGCTCCGCTCCTCCTCGTCCTCATCGCCGTCCCCGCCGGCGTCCTCGCCGTCGTCGTCCTCCCTCGCGCCTCCTCCGTCCCCCTCGTCCCCCTCGTGCTCTCCCGTCGTCCTCGCCACCGCGCCCGCCCTCGTCGCCCTTGTCGTCCTCCTCCTGGTTCGCCTGAGCGTTTGCAGCAGCGTTCCCGGGCTCCAACTATGGTGTGTAAGTCTAGTCCCATGTTTCGCGAGGCCATCTACACTGATCCCTTGGAGTTTACAAACGACACCATTCAGGCCCTCAGAAGAGCTACTGGTGTCAGGAGGCTGGCTACCGACCCCTCCTCGTCTTCCTCGTCTGCGGATGCGCGTGCTTCGAGTTCGCTGCTCGCCCTTCCCCCTCAGCCTGCTCCTCAGCCAGACACTTCTAATGATGAAGAGTGTATGGCATGATTGCCGCGCCCCCCTCTGTTGCTTGCTTCCTCCCTTCCTCTCTCTCTCTCTCTCTCTCCTTCCGCTGTTGCTGCTCTGCCTGCTCTTCCCCTCTTCTGGGCCTCGCGTCGACGGGTGGGCGTGCGTGGGCGTGTCTTTATGTGTTTTATGTGGTGTCCTGTTCTTTCTTGCCCGTCGGTTCCCCCTCCTCGTTCCCTTGTCGTGTCGTTGCTGGGCCGTGGCCTAGGATTACATTGGGTGGACTTCTCGACGCCTCTCCCATGGCGCAACTGCCGCTGGGAACATGGTGCCCAATGTAGGCCGTCCTGCGCTGTTCCCTTGCAGACGGTCCTGCATTTGGCCAGAGGTCTCCCCCCGGCGATGTCGCAGGTTCTTCGATATCGCCCCTGATGTCGAACACGGAGATCCTTACAGATCTTCTCTGCCAGGTTGCTTGGCGCAGCATTGCAGGCACCAGCGCACAGGATCGCAATCGTCCATTCTTCCTCCTCCTCCTCCTCCTCCTCCTCCTCCTCTCCTCCTCCTCCTCCTCCTCCTCCTCCCCCTTCCCCTCCCCCTCCCCCTCCCCCTCCCCCTCCCCCCCTCTCCTCCCCCCCCTCCCCCTCGCTCGTGCCACGGCTCCCTCGGGGGCGCCCTAAGAGGGCGGTGATGAGCGTGGGGGGTGGCTGTATCCTGGCCGGGGCCATGCCACCTCCCCAGATGTCTCAGGAGGGAAAACACAGACACAATTAATCGTCGACTCCCTAGAAAATATGGGAAAATATGGGAAGTGGGGGGGAAGACAGAAACCCAGAAAATATGGGAAAATATGGGGAATCCTTTGATTTGTGTGCATTTATTTGTGTGTCCTAGGGCCCCTTCAATGTCATGGCCCCCTCTCCTTCTTTTCAATGCGTCCCCTGCCCCCCCCCCCCTGGGCCGCGCGCATGCTTCGGGCCATGATCTGCGACTCCCCCTCTGGGGCGACCCCCCTTCGTGGGCGCTGCCGACCTCTGCATCGTCGATCGAAGGTGGTCCTCTGGCGGGTCTAACCTCTCTCCTCTCTCCCGTCGCTTTCGTTTGCGCCGAGTGCATGCGTAGCAGCATGTTTTCCCGCTGGCTGCACCTTTGGCGCCGCCCCTGGGCGCTTCGCGCGCTAGGGAGCGGGGGTCCACCGCCGATCCGAAAAGTCCGCGTGGACTTCTGACAGTCTTCGCTTCGACGATTGTCCTTGTTCTGGACAACGGCCCCGTGGTGGAGGCTCTTCCAGCCGCGTCGGATGGGGGGGGGTCTCGGCTGGCTCCTCTCTGGTAGCGTGCCATCCCTCCCCTTCGTCCTCGTTGCCCTCCCCGTCGTTGTTCTCGCCCTCGTCGTATCTCGTCGTCCTCCCTCTCGTCTTCTCCCCCTCCCCATCCCACCCCCTTTCCCCTGTCTCATGTTCCCCCTCCTTTCCCTCCTCCTCACCCCTTCCCTCCTTCTATTCTCCCCATTTCTCCAACATCCCATCCCTCCTCCTATTCTCCCCCTCCCCCTCCTCCTCCCGCTCCTCTCCCCCTGAGTGCACATCGTCCTGCCAATACTGGCCGTCGGCGCACCTGCCGGCGGCCTCACGAGCACAGGCACCGGGGCAAGACACAGCGCTCCACGCGCGCAGCGGGGCGGGCGGAGGGCCGGCAGCAGCGCCCGCGCTGGACGCGAGAGGGGAGGCGGCGGCACGCACCGCGCCTGTCCGAGGGCGCCTCGTCGAGCCCAGGGCACAAGAGGTAGCCTCGGGGGGGGGGGTAAGCGGCGCCCGCGCTGGACGCGAGAGGGGAGGCGGCGGCACGCACCGCGCCTGTCCGAGGGCGCCTCGTCGAGCCCAGGGCACAAGAGGTAGCCTTGGGGGGGGGGGTAAGCGGCGCCCGCGCTGGCGCGAGAGGGGAGGCGGCGGCACGCACCGCGCCTGTCCGAGGGCGCCTCGTCGAGCCCAGGGCACAAGAGGTAGCCTTGGGGGGGGGGGGGTAAGCGGCGCCCGCGCTGGCGCGAGAGGGGAGGCGGCGGCACGCACCGCGCCTGTCCGAGGGCGCCTCGTCGAGCCCAGGGCACAAGAGGTAGCCTTGGGGGGGGGGGTAAGCAGCGCCCGCGCTGGCGGCGAGAGGGGAGGCGGCGGCACGCACCGCGCCTGTCCGAGGGCGCCTCGTCGAGCCCAGGGACAAGAGGTAGCTTGGGGGGGGGGGGGGGGTAAGCGGCGCCCGCGCTGGCGCGAGAGTCCCCTAATCGGGCACGCACCGAGCCAGTCGCCGGGCGCCTCGGTCGAGCCCAGGCACAAGAGGTACGCCTTGGGGGGGGGGTAAGCAGCGCCCGCGCTGGCGTACTTTTTTTTGGCTGCTCCCTACTCCTCCTCCTCCTCCTCCTCCCTCCCTCCTCCTCCTACCTCCTCCTCCTTCCTCCTTCCGCCCTTCCCCGCCTCTTCTTCCGCCATTTCCCTCCCTTCCTCCTCACTCCTCCTCCCTCCTCCTCTGGCTCTGCTCCTGCTGCTCTCCTCCTCCTCCTCCTCCTCCTTCTCCTCCTCCTCCTCCTTCTTCTCCTCCTCCCCCTCCCGCTCCCCCTCCCCCTCCCGCCCCTCCCCTCCTCGCAGTGCCAGATATTTTGGTGTTGTTCGTATCTCCTTCTAGCCGTTGGGTGCGTTGTCTGTCTGAAGTATTTCTACTGACGGGGCTCAGAGGGAGGCGGGGCTTCATCATGACATGACCTGGTGGGTGGCTTGTGGTCTCCTCCGCTTCCTATCGTTTGCCTTCGGCTTACGCGAGACCAGAGGTGTTCAAATATGGTTTGAGTGCACCGTCGGCAGCTCAGTATCAGTCTCCCCCTCCCCCATCGAGGCCGTAGGCCGCCGCAGCGGGCCCAGAGAGCCGCCCGATGGAGCTGCTGAGCCTCGGGGCGCTGTCGAACATCGTGCAGATCGGCCAGCTGGCCGCCGCCCCAGAGCGCGGTCGTCCGCTGCGGACGCGCGCGCGCGCCCAGCGCCTCCACGCGCGGCCGCCGAGCTGCCGCGCGCGAGCCGGTGCGAGCGCGGGCGTGAGGCGCCGCTGCGCCCCACGCGGCCGTCGATCTGCCGCCGCGCGCTTCTTTCTGCGCGAGATCATGCAAGGGGTCCTATACAAGGGTCGGGCAGCGGCAGAGGGTTGTGCAGAACGGGGGCAGCCAGATGCACGGCCGCAGCGTCTGCGTCTGGACGCAGGACCTCACCGCCTGGGCCAGTTTCTCCATATTGGCGGTTGGCCGGCCACATCTCGCAGCAAGACGTCTTGGCGGGCACGTATTGTTTTTGTTCTCGCTCTGAGGGTTGTGCGCATCGGGCTTTTCCTATTCTGCGGGACCTGTCACCGTATCGTGTTGCCGCGTGGCGCGTACCTTCGGCAGACGTTCGCTAAGCCTGACCCTAAGAGGCGTCTTCTTTTTGCCCCTCCTCTTCCTCCTCCCTGTTTCTGTTGCCGTTGAGGCTTCCCTTTCTCCCCTCTTCTCCTCCCCGGGAGCAGGAGGACGAGGAGAAGCGGGGGAGGGGGGGAAGGAGGAAGAGGTGGAGGTGGAGGAGGAGGAGGAGGAGGCGGATGAGGAGGAGGAGGAGGAGGAGGAGGAGGAGGAGGAGGAGGAGGAGGAGGAGGAGGAGGAGACACACACACACACACACACGCGCGCGCACACACGCACGCACGCACACGCGCGCACGCACGCACACCACACGCACGCACGCCCGCCCGCCCGCCCCCCCACCCCCCCCCCCCCCCCACACACACACACACACACAAGCGCACGCGCACACGCACACGCACACACAAACACACACACACACATTCACACACACAGCACACGTACACACACACGCGCACACGCACACACACAGACGCACACACACACACACACGCACACACACGTTCACTCACCCAAACACGCACACGCACACGCACACGCACCCACGCACCTGCACGCCCCCCCCCCACACAACACAGGACCACCAGAACAACACACACACACAACACACGCACGCACGCACGCACGCGCACGCACGCACGCACAACGCACACACAGACACACACACAGCACACACCACACACACACACACACAACACACGCACACACACACACGCACCCGCACACACGCCACCACGCACACACGCACACACGCACACACGCACACACGCACACACGCACACACGCACACACGCACACACGCACACACGCACGCACACACGCACACACGCACACACGCACACACACGCACACACGCACACAAGCACACACGCACACACGCACACACACGCGCACGCGCACCCGCACAAGCGCACGCGCACGCGCACGCGCGCGCGTACGCGCACGCGCACGTGCACGTGCACGCGCAGCGCACGCGCACGCACACCCGCACACCCGCACACCCGCACACCCGCCGCAACACGCACACGCACACGCACACACATAGTTACGCACAAACACGCCACACACATGACACACAAACACACACACACACACACACACGCACACACGCACACAAGCGCGCACGCACACACAGACACACGCACACACGCGCACGCACACGTACACACACACACACACACACACACACACACACACACACACACACACACACACACACGCGCGCACACACATACACGCACGCGCATACGGACACACACACACACACACACGCACACGCACTTTTTGCGTCGGCGGCTCGGCAGGGGACGTCTGCGCTGGCGATGGGAGGCCTAAACGGGGATGCCGTTAGAGCGAGTTGCGCCACCATGCAGGAGGAGGAGGAGGAGGAGGAGGAGGAGGAGGAGGAGGAGGAGGAGGAGGAGAGGAGGAGAGGAGGAGGAGGAGGAGGAGGAGGAGGAGGAGGAGGAGGAGGAGGAGGGAGGAGGGAGAGGAGGAGGAGGAGGAGGAGGAGGAGGAGGAGGAGGAGGAGAAGGAGGAGGAGGAGCGGGGGAGGGCGCGGCCGAAAGAGGGGCGGACGGAGCGAGCGGCTCAGGGGCACGGCTCGCTCCCCGAGCGGGCGGCGCGGCCAGCCCCGCCGGCGGGCCCGCGGCGGCCGCTGCGTCAGCGTGCCTGGCGGCGGCGGGGCCCAGCGCGGGGGTAGAGATCCCGGGTAAGAGGGATGAGCCCTGTCGAGGCACCAGGCGAGGCTGCGGCACCCGTCGAGGCGGCGGCACCAGTCGAGAAGCGGGCGCGGGCGGCACCAGTCGAGGCCGCGGCACCAGCGGCGGGCGGCAAGGCCAGGCCCGGGCCAGGTGCGCATGTGCCAGGCGGCCAGCATGTGGGGCGGCGGCGGCGTGTGCACGGCAGAGCCGTGGAGGCGCAGGGGGGATGGAAAGAGAAAAGTACCAAAGCCCTCGCAGTACCCGGTTCCGGAGCTGTGGGGGTGGCGGTTGAGGCCCCGTGGCTAGTGACGCATTGGAGCGGAGACGAAAAACAAAAAGAAAAGGGGAGGGGAAGCGAAGAGGGAGGAAGGCGCGAGCCACGTGGCATGTGGGCCCACGGGTGGGGTGGTAAAGGCCGGACGGGCGGCGAGCACCGCAGGGCGCGAGGGCAGGCGTGGGGACGGGAGTGGCACGAAGCGGGTGGCGCGCCCCCCGCGCGGGAGGCCGGGGGGTGCCGCGGTGGCCGGCGGGCCAGGGCCGGCCAGGGGCTGGGTGCGCGAGCGGCAGGCCCGTGAGGGCCTGCACTGCAGCGAGAGCTGGTCACCAACCTGGTGCAGGGAAAAGAGGACGAGTGCGCCGCCCGGCGGGGTAGGGGGAGCCCGCAGCGGGAGGGGGGAGGGCGGCCACCGCAGGAAGCGATAGCGCGGTACCGAAGAGGTGCAGTCGAACGTGAGAGCGGGGACCCCTCCGCGGGGTGGGGGCCCGCAGATGGGGGGGGGGGGGGGGGCGGCCGCCGCGGGGGAAGCGGCAGGGGACCCGCAGTAGCGGTACAGCCGAACTGGCGCAGGGAAGTTCACCGAGGGCAGCGATGGCTGCGCCTCGCCCGGATGGCCAGAGGGGCCGGCTGGGGGGGAGCGCATGCCCGCCGCAGTCAGAGTGACAGCGGCGGGCGCGCAGAGGCAAAAAGAGCGGAACCCGAGGCGTCCGGCCGCTTCGCGGCGTCAGCAGGCAAGCGGCGGGCGGCGCGAGCCTGGGGAGGGGGGCGGGCGTAGGGCGATGCGGAAGCTAAGATGAGGACCAAGTGCAGGCGGATGGGCGTACTGGGCATGGCGCCTCGCGGGTCTGCGGGGCGCGTGCAGGCGGCTTGGCTCGTTGCCCTGGGACCCTCCGAGCCCTTGATGGATACAGGCGCGGAGGTGCGGCCCTAGGGGTCGTGGCAGCCAGGGGGTTGGCGCGATTGTGGAGGCCTGAGAAGGCGCGCCCTCGTGCGGTGTTCCGCGCGTGGGGACTGTTGAGATGCGCACGCAAGAGCAAGGACTGGGCTAAGGCTGGTGGGGGTTGCGGCTGGGACGGCGCTGTCTGGACTGCTCGTTGTTGGGCCAGGTGGGGTCGGCGCGTCGCTTGCTTTTCCACGCACACGCACACGCACACATACAGACATTCACGCACATACACACATTCACGCACACACGCACACACACACGCACACACACACACGCACACATACATGCATACATACATACATACATACATACATACACACCTCCTTAACTCCTATGCGCCCGCGTGTGTGCGTCGGTTTGTGCATGTTCGTCGTGCGTGTAGCTCGCGCGGCACGCGTGTCGCGCGCGCACCCATGCTCCAAACCAGCCTTCCAGTCGGGGGCACGGGCTGCACGAGATTCGTGATTTGTGTTTGGTGTGGGGGGGGGGGGGGGGGGCACGGCGCCCCAAGGGGGCAAGAGGCGGCCTAACCAAGTCTTGCTCCTCCTCCTCCTCCTCCTCCTCCTCCTCCTCCTCCTCCTCCTCCTCCTCCTCCTCCTCCCCATCCTCTTCCTCATCGCCATCATCAGCATCATCAGCATCATCCTTACCATCGTCTTCGCCCTCCTCCAGGCATCATCATCATCCTGCTCCACCCTCCTCCTCCGAAGTGCCCCTGTTCAGAGGGACGAGGTCAAAGCTCACCCCGGAGCGGGATCCCGATCTCGGCTCGGCCTGGCCGATAGGCCTGGCCCTTTCCACAAAAGGGAGGGGGGATCTCGGGGCGGAGGAAGACAGAGGAACGAAGGAGGGAGGAGGGATCGCGGGACGGAGGAAGAGAGAAGGACGGCGGAGGAGGGACGAGTCGAAGAAGGAGGATTCATAAGAAGCAGGAGGGGAAGGATGATAATGGTAAGGAGGAGCAGGAACAAGAGGACCTGCTCGTCCTCCTTATCCTGCTCCTCCTCCTCCCCCGCCTTCGTCCTCCCTCTCCTGTGTCCTCCTCCTCCTCCTCCTCCTCCTCCTCTTCCTCCTCCTTGTCCCCAGCCTTCGTCCTCCCTCTCCTCTCTCCTCATCCTCCTCCTCGTCCTCCTCCTCCTCCGTAGCGTTTCTGGCTCAAGATGACTTCGCCCCGTGGGAGAGCACGGAAACCCTAGGTCCAGGCACAGCTAAGGACCCCTTTCCCGCGCTGCGCCTTCCAGCTGCCCTGCTGGTTGAGCTTCACATTCGGCTCTGCGCTCGCCTGCAGTAGCCTTCGCGGGCGATGCCCCGAGGGTGGCACGGGCCTCTACGTGACTCCATGGGAACCTTCTCCCCGCCACCAGCAGCTGGACCGGCCGCCCTCCTGCCTCACGGACAAGATCACGACGGTGGCAAACGGCAGCGAGAGCCATGGCATGATGGAGCAGCGAAGCTTGCTGTGCATGACCTGCCCGCTCATGTTCGAAAGCAGTTCGAAGAGACCATGGCCACCCATATCAGAGACGCATCCGACAAGTTCGAGGCCACAACCAGAGCCGTCACCGCCCAGGCCAGCAAATAATTCCTCGCCAGCATCACCCGGATCAGTGCTGCCAGATCACCGCAGAGCTCAGCAAACGTCATGGAGCGTTCCATCATCGCCGTTCACGAACTCACCAGCATCCTCGAGCAGCAGAACATCGACCTCAAAGCCACCGTCGCCAAGCTGGAAGCCATCGTCACTGCAGCGGAAGCCAGAGCACCAGCCCTCAACTTGGACGGCTTGGGTACCTTGGACCGCGACCCCTGGTGCAGCAGCCCGCAGGAATTCGGTCAACCCGAACTCGAACGCGCCCTCGAGGATTGGTTCGAGAAGGCCGAGATCAACAAGAGCATGGCCATCTTCAACGCAGTCGGCCCCGCCAAGCGCCACCCGTTTCAGGTCAGTGGTGGCACCGTGGTTGCGGAACCTCGCGCACAGCGTTTCCGTGGTGCTCTACGCAACGGGAAAGAGTGGAGAACCGTACACCTCAGCCTGGCTAATGGCGCGCGTGTTCCTTTAGATGTTTCTGCCGACAAAAGCCCGAAGGCCGTGCGCGCAGAAGTCCAGGTCAAACGCCTCGCCAAGATCATGCAGAATGCTAAGCCAGAAATCTATATACGCCCCCATCGCACATTGGGCTACGTGGCGAACCGTGGTGATGCCCTGGTGCGTCTTACTATTGGTAGCAACGCGGACACTCCCACAAAGCTCCAGTGGTCCCGTGCAGCAGTCGACCGCGGCTTCGACAACGCCCTCCAGCAGAAAGTCATTGCAGAGTTCGGGCCCGACTTCGCAGACGCCCTCTCGGCCGCGCAGTGGGTTTAGCCTTCGCTGGAGCCCGTGGCTCCTTTCACCATCGCAGGAGGGTCTCAACATCGCATTCTGGAACGCGCAAGCTCTTCTGGGAAATAGGATCAGCGGCGCGCTGACAAACGTCGACTGCTCTCGCCTTACTTCCGCCAACGCGCACTCTTTGCAGTACAGGAAACCCATGGTTCCATCGACGATCTGTCCATCCTTGCCAACTCCACGCAGCATAAGTACAGGCCGTACCTCTCCTTGATCATCAGCGACGGCATCCCCGTCACCAACGCTGGCGGCGTTGGCTTCCTCGTTCAATTCGACAGACAAGGACAACGTCTTCCGCCAGATCTACGCCCTCGAGTCAGGTTTGAGGCAGTCACCCCCGGCCGCGCCGCCTGGCTGCGCGTCGCGGACGCCAGCCTCCAGTTCGAAGTCACCGTCCTCAACATCCACGTATTCGTGTTCTCCCCTGCCGACCGCCTGCTCCCTCGTGACCAGTGGCGAGCTCTCCGGACACATGCCAACGAGCAACCTCAACATCGACTTCTCGTCATGGTGGGTGACTTCAACGTCTCTGAGTCCCCGCCGAAGTCTATCAGCACCCCCGTGGAAGCGGGCGCCACAGCCGCGCGGCGCTACCAGTGCCAGCCAGTCATTTGGCGCCCCCTGCTCCGCGACATGATCGATATCACTGCGCCGTCCGCGATGCACAGACCGTCGACCATCGACAGATGATTCATCAATCTCTCGAGCCACCATGCCCCTCATGGAGACCGTCTATGTCGCCGACGACTCTCCGCTCGAGAACTCCAGAGGACCCGTTGGCGACCGCAAGAACATGCACTTACGCCTCCGCCTCCGCAGGCCCAGGATTGCCGCTGAGCGAGGCATTCCCGCATGCATTTTCGACGCCTTGCACTGCCGGCATCGCATCCAGGAGATTCTCGCAGGCGTTGACGCGCCCACGCTCGCGCCCATCGCTAAGTGGCGCCCCCTTAGGTCAACCATGCAGATCGCCGCTGCACAAGCGCGCGACTCCCTGACCAAGATCCCCGCGGCTGAACTTCAGTCGCAGTCGGCATCTGTCTCGCGCGAGGTCCGCGCCATGTCTCTGCGCAGCATCGCGAGAGCCGCATGGCGCCAAGATGTCAAGCTCGCGAAGACCATCGAGAACACCGACATCGGCAAGCTCCACCTGAAGGTCATCGAGGGCACCGTCAGCATCAACGACATGCACAACTTCACGGACGCCACCGACACCGCGCACGCAAGCCTCAGTGACGAGAGGAAAGCGCGCGCATCAGCCCGCCCCAGAGCTGCCTTTGCAGCCGCCAACATCCTTCTTGGCCAGAAATGGCGACAGCGCGCCAAACGTAAAGGCCTACGTGGTAATCTGTGGCGACCTTTCTTCAAGCGTCTCGTGCTGTCGGGCGTCGAGATTGTCGCTGGCAATTCGACTAACGCTGTGACCGGCCCCGCAGCTACGCACCAGGCCATCATGAGGCCCTGGGCCCCCGTCTTCGCTGAGGAAGAAGCACGTCGACCGCGCGCGCCTCACCGAGCACCTCAACTCCAACCGCGGGGCTCCCTCCCTGGCGACTCCGCTCCAGGTCCTGATACTCTTCCATAGAAGGCGTGGCCCCGCGCGCCCAACAGCTTCGAAATCCTCGCCGACGTGGACTACGACATCGCCGCCAACAGCAACGCCCCGCACGATGTCGACTATTCCCTCATGGCTATGCTGCCGGAAGGCGACGAGCCGATAGGCGATGCCGAGTGCGCGCGCACTCCCAAATGCTTCCGTCCGCTCTCAATACACAAACTCGGATGTGAAGTTGCTGGCCCCTGCTGCCAATCGCCGGCTCCACGTCCTCGCCGCCCAGGCGTCGCCCGAGCAGCATGGCTTCGCCAATCGCCGCAAGGTCTTGAACAACGTTGTCGCGGTGGTCTCCGCCGCCAGACAGCTCTGCCTATTCCCCTCAGCATCGACAGACCCAGTTTTGTTAGCAGCACGGACATCGCGGCCGCATTCCCGAGTCTCGGACACCAGTGGATGCGGGGCGCGCTCTCGCGCTGGGGCATCCACGGCAACTTGGCGCGTCTCATCCAGGCCTGCTGCTACTGGCCTGTCTCTTTCCTGGACATGGGAGGAGAGCGGCGCCCGCTGCTCATTGCTGCCTCTGGCGTTGCTCAAGGCTGCCCATGGAGCGGCACCATCTGGGCCCTCGTCTTCGACCCCGTCATCACCGCCATCAGCTCCGCGCTCGAGGCCATCAAGCGCGGCCCCGTCAGCGCCTGTGCCGACGACCTAGGCATCCTCCTCGCCAGACTCCGCGACATCAACAAGATCGCACCGCGCATGATTGCGGCCGACACCCTCGCTGGACTACACACTCAAGCCAAGAGGTGCATAGTCGCCCCAGCATGGGCACTGCCTTCCCCAGACATCACCGACGATGTGCATCTCATGCTAGCTGCGGCTCGTTCAATGTCGAATCCGAGGCCCGCTACCCCAGTTTCTTCATTGGCCCTGGATCCACACTTGCTGAACAATGGCGTGGTCCAGCAGTCAAACGGTGGGGCCGTGTTGAGAAGCTCGCCGCGTCCCATGCTCCGATCCAGCAAGGCATCAAGCTCTACAGCGTCGCCGCGGCCACCTGCCTGGGGCACGTCGGCCAGCTCTTCGAGCCCCCCGAGGGCATCCTCCAGAGAGAGCTGCAGGCCTTCCACAGGCTGCTGCGCATCGCCCCCTTCAGCTTCGCCCAGTCCGACATCCTTGCGACGTCTCTCTGGACCAACGTGGAAGTACGCATCGGCATCGAGAACTATCTGGCAGCCACCCTCTGGAGAACCGGTTCTACTACTGTGGCAGAGTGCAGGAGCGCACGCAAAAAGCTATGCGACGAAACCTACAACCACCTGCCCCTCGTCTCTGTAGTGCAAGGGCAGTGGTGCAACGACTGCCAGGACACCAAGACTGCCATGGTCCAGCGATTCGAGGGCATCATCAACTCTATGTACTTTGCGGACTGCAAAGGCTCCCATCTCAAACGCATGACTCGTTCGGCCGGTCCTCTCCCCCGAGCTCGCGCCGCTATGATTAGCTCCTACAAGCGCGCTGCACGCGCCGGTGCACAAGCTTTCTCCTTCGGCAACAACCTCAGCAGCAACGTCGACATCCTGGCCGACCTCTCCGGCATTAGCCTGCCAAGATCACGCCACAGCAAGCCTACTTGATTAAACTGAGCGAGCAGCTCTATGTGGACACTGTGCCCGACGCCAACATGCGCCGTCTCCTCGCCTGGTTCCCCGTGGTGGATCCAGCCCAGCAGCTCACTCGCGAGCCGCCAAACGACCCTCGTCGCGAAGCCGAGAATGCCCAAGAACGACTTCTCGCGCGGGCTCGAGTGCGGGCCGCCCACTGGCTTCCCGACTTACTATTGCACGACAGCAGCATTGACAACCACGACGACTGGCATCAGTGGTGCACGGCGCGCCTGCGCGACTTGCTCGGCACCGACCTGTTCGCCCCGCTGTGCTCCACGGACGTCAGCGGCGCCGCCTCGCTGACCACGTGTGCGAGCAGACGTGGTGCAACTCTGGCATCGGCCGCATTATTCTCGAACGTCGCCCCACGAGAGTGACCAACAACGCGGCGGACCAGCGCGAGCAGGCCGCACTGTTCGCAGACGAAGCTGCCCAGCATCGAGCCCGTCGTCGTTGGGCATCTAACTTCCCTTCGCATCGCCTCGACATCCTTGAGATCAACAACGACGACGACAGCATGGACATCGACTCATCTCCAGATGCAGCGCCCGAGCCCGAGCCCGCTGACCTGCTGCAGATACAGCGCATTCCTGATGACCTACCAGCTCGCTGGAAGCGCTTGCGCACCTACCTTGCGACGTTACCTCTCGCGAGGCTGTGGGCCGCTCTGAAGGTGCTCGCTGGGGCCTGGACTACGAGCAGCAGAATGTACGTCATCAAAGACAAGCGCCCCTGCCACTTCGGGCGCGCGCGCGCCATGAGCAAAGATTGCATCTTGCACTACCTCGTACGTGAGCGGATGTGACGCCAGCTGAGCCTGCCCCGTGGCCAGCTGAGCGCCGACCTACTCGCGCGCCTGGCGCTGCCCAACCTGAACGACCCCTTCGCCGGTGAGAACGGCATCCCCACTTCCGTCGCCCGCCTCAGCGCGTCCACCAGGATGTGCCACCTCACCACGGAGGGCGAGCAGCCGATGTCCTACCACAAGCAGTGCACCGCCGTCTCCGCCGCTCGCCATGCGCTCCGCCTGCCTGCCGACCTGACAGGTGGAGCCGGCGCGCCGCGGCGCGGCTGATCGAACTTCCGGTCCACCAGGCGACGTTCGCTCCTCCTCCTCCTCCTCCACCTCCTGCTCCTGCCTCCAGTGGGAAGGATCAGCGATGAGGGAGGAAGGACCAGAGTAAGCCCAAGATGCTTCAGCGGTGCTGCAGTACACTCTCCCGCCTCAAGATCCCTCCCCACTAGTCCATGCATATCTCGTTTTCGCTACAAGAAGCGTCCTCTTTTTTACAACAACAGCACCCCTTGGGTTTGCCAATCATGGAGAAGGCCCCCGTTTTGAATCGGAACTTCCTTGCATCCTTCTACCGCCGAGTCAGGAATGCGACAAGTATGATCCGAATCTTCAGCGAGGTGTCCAGGGAGATCCCCCTTCTCAAAAAAGACCGTTGGCATTCGTGTGACACTTGCACATCGGTGGTCATGAACGAGGAAGTCTCAAGCGAGAGCCTCATTTAAAAAAACGCCATCCATCCCTCTTGTTGCTAGTTCGTGCGCGTGGGTGGGGGGCGCGATAGCCAACCTTGGCCGCCTGCATCGGGCGTGGCTCGTCCTAGCCCGGCGATGTTCTGAGCAGACGACCTGGGCAAATGTTCCGGCAGGGTTGGTTGGACCATGGAGTCCTCCACGATGTTCGTGACGGACGAGGACCGGCGCATGCAGCTGCCGTATGTGCCCCTAGTTGATGCGGGCCATTATTCTTCCTTGGGGATTCCCTTGACTCCGGATCCGCCCTACTTTGGGGAAATTCGTAGGTAGGGCTTGGAATTTCCGCCTTACTTTTCAAGCCCCGCTGATGCCAATTTCCGCCCTACTTTTCTGCTGCTGTTTCCGCCCTACTTCTTTGGATTTCCGCCCTACTTTATGTTGGGTGCAGAAATTTCCGCCCTACTTTTTCGGCTTCTTTTAGGTGGATTTCCGACGCAATTTCAAAGTGGAAAAGAATCCAAAGTAGGGCGGATCCGGAGTCAGGGTCTTTGGCACGCAGCGATGGCAGGATCATCGGTTGCTGCCTCGTGCCCACCTCGCTTACGGTGCTGGGGGACTTTGGCTTCGCGCACTTCGCCTGTGGACCCTCGGGGTCGCCGTGCCGTCCGAGCTCGGAGCACTGCAGGCGTTTGGGTTCGCGAGGGGCTCTCTGGGCCCGGGAGGGTATGCGGCGCCTTCGTTAAAGGCGCCACCCTCGGCTGACTGACTGCGGCCTTGCATCCCTTGCAGACGCGTAGGCGAAACAAAAAACGAATCAGCATACTTGTACAAAGAGAAACAGAAGACATGCAACTATGCCTGATTATATACTGAAGTTGCCCATTGCTGTCTGGGACGCCCCCGGCGCCTGCGGACAGCCCAGTTTTTGGGCGTGCCGTCGCGATTGCAAACAATGCGCCGCACTAGCGACTCGTCGGTCTCAGAAGCAACTTTCCTGTAAAGTTGTGCTTGGCGTGCTCCTGGAAAATCCCGTGCCCAGAGGGGGGGGGGTCAGGGGCCCGAACGACTCGGCGGCGGCAGCAGCGAGAGAGGTGATGCGCTCGGCCCCCCCATCTCTTCTCGTGGGCTCGGGGGCTCTCGGGGTCCCCGAGGGCACGCACCGCCTTCGTTAGAGGCGTGACCCTCGGGGGCCTGGGGAATCCCGCGCCCAGCGGGAGTTTGGCGACTGTTTCGGCGCAGCGCCTTGCGTGACACAGTCTATGTCGCAGGAGCTGTAAATACCCGTTCCCAGGTCAAGATGTATCACATGGGCCGCACTGTGGAATCATGCTGGCCGCCTCATCCGCCCGCAACGCCAGTGGCCGTCTCACCGCCGTAGCGGCAGGGCATGTGCGCGGCGCTCAGGCAAGAGCCGCAGTTTGAAAACACCCCCCCGCTTTCCTTGAGACACGAAGCCGCGCCGAGACGGCGCATTGGCACGGAAATACTGCGAACATGCACGCGCGGGAAAACAATGAAAAAGTAAGTACGCCATGCAGGGGGAAATGCATGTAATCACCAGTAGTCTTTGTACTTGGTGACCCGCTGTTCGTTAGCCGGCAAGCGAAACGTGCCAAGGGGAAAACGTTCTATCCTTGAGGCAGTGGCAGAATTCAAAGACGAGCGTGCGCGGCGCCAAGGCAAGAACCACATTTTGAACCCGAACCCGCGTCCACCCGTGCAATTATTGCAATTCGTTTAGAGAATGTGCGCAGCTTTATTGCGTGAGCCACATGTTGAAAACGACGCCTCTTTATCCGTGAAGCTGTTGCAAAGTTCAAGCTTTAGGACCATGCATGGCAAGGAAGTCTCAGGCGACACGCCCGGCCCGCTGTACCGACACGTCAGGGGATGCGCCAGGGAGGAGCTATGTGCACGGAAAGGGGGTGGGTGAGAAGGGGGAGCTGGAGGAGGAAGAGGAGGAGGGGGAGTTGGAGGAGGAGGAGGAGGAGGAGGAGGAGGAGGAGGAGTTCGACGACAACTTCATCTCGATGGGCCCTGGGAGGGCCCAGTGCGTTCCTGAGGTTCTCCACCGTTTTCGCCTGCCCCCTCCCCCCCGCGCCGGGCCTCTCGCCGTCTCCCGCGTGCAGCGGGGCAGCGCCAGAACCGTTTCAGAGCGAGCGATTAACCTCGACGACGCGGGGGGGCGGGATGGGGGATGGGGAGGAGGAGGAGGAGGAGGAGGAGGAGGAGGAGGAGGAGGAGGAGGAGGAGGAGGAGGGGGAGGAGGAGGAGGAGGGGGAGGGGAGGAGGAAGGGGGGCAGGGGGAGGAGGAGGAGGATGCGGAGGAGGAGGAGGAGGTGGAGGAGGAGTTGGCCTTGGATCAGCTGCTGTCCGGTGCTGCCAAGGCCACCACCGCCAGGGGGAACACCGTGGAGCGCGCCGCCTCGTGCCGCGGCGGTGGTGAAGGTGATAGTGATAGTGAGGATGAGGATGAGGATGAGGATGATGATGATGATGATGATGGTGATGATGATGGTGATGGTGATGGTGATGGTGATGGTGATGGTGATGGTGATGGTGATGGTGATGGTGATGGTGATGGTGATGGTGGTGATGATGATGGTGATGATGATGATGATGATGATGATGATGATGATGATGATGATGATGATGATGATTTTGATGATGATGACGATGACGATGACGCTGATGAGGAGGAGGAGGAGGAGGACGAGGAGGATGAGGATGAGGATGAGAAGGAGGAGGAGGAGGAGGACCAGTGGAAATCCAAGAGTCATCAACGACGTTGGGATAAACCCTCCCTCCAAGCTCCCTCCTCATAGGCCCCTACAATTGTCATTTCCATTGAGGAAGTTGCCTCGTTGGAAGACAAGCGTTTGAAGACCCTGAATCATACCAAGACGTTGTTCTCGGGATTCCAACGCCACGGATCGACCTGATTGTTGCGTCTTGCGATCTTGAATCGTGTCAGAACACCATTCTTGAGATTTCAACACAAGGAATCAACGTAACGGTTTGCACCCTCATAACCTTGAACCCTTCCAAAACACAATATCTGGTACGCTGATCGTGGGAACCCGTGAAACTCTTGCAATGGTTTAAAACGAATGTGCGCGGCGCTAAGGCGAGAGCCACAAGTTGAAACGGAACCGCCCTCAGTCCGTGAAATCCTTGGAAATGTGTAAACCGAATGTATGCGGCGCTAAGGCGAGAGCCACATTTTGAAAAGGAACCACCTTGAAAGCAGTGAAATTCTTGGACATGTTTAAACCGAATGTGCGTGGCGCTGAGGCGAGAGCCACATTTTGAAAACCACCCGCCCTCAACCCGTGAAACCCTTGCAACATGGTATTGCGAATGTGCGCGGCGCTAAGGCGAGAGCCACATTTCGAAACCCACCCTCCCTCCATGTTGTGTGAATATGTTGCCATTGTTTTAAACTTCAGGGTCATACATGATGAGGAAGTCTCAGGCGAAACGCCCAGCCCGCCCTAAAAATGGGCCTCGGAGTGCGACAGGAAGAAATCACTAATAAGGAAAAGGCATGGAGGAGGAGGAGGGTGATGGTGATGCTGGTGATGGTGATGGTGGTGGTGGTGGTGATGCTGATGCTGATTATGATGATGATGCTGATGCTGATGCTAATGCTGCTGATGGTGATGGTGATGGTGATGGTCATGATGATGGTGATCGTGATGATGATGATGATGAGGATGAGGAGGCGAAGGACGAGGATGAGGATGAATCTGATGATGACAAAGAGGAGTAGGAGGATGAGCAGGAGGAGGAGGAGGAGGAGGAGGATGATGATGATGATGATGGTGATGGTGATGATGATGATGATGATGATGATGATGCTGATGATGATGATGATGATGATAATGATGATGGTGATGGCGGTGGTGATAATGTTGATGCTGATGATGGTGATGGTGATGTTGATGGTGATGGTGATGGTGATAATGTTGATGATGATGATGATGGTGATGAGGAGGAGGAGGAGGAAGAGGAGGAGGAGGAGGAAGATGAGGATGAGAAGGATGAGCAGGAGCATGAGGAGGAGGAGGAGGAGGAGGAGGGTGATGGTGATTGTGATTATGGTGACGGTGATGGTGATGGTGGTGATGGTGAGGATGATGATGATGATGATGATGATGATGATGATGATGCTGCTGATGATGGTGGTGGTGGTGGTCGTGGTGATGATGATATGAGGAGGAGGAGGTGATGGAGGAGAAGGGCGACGAGGATGAGGATGAGGATGAGAAGGAGAAGGAGGAGGAGGAAGAGGAGGAGGAGATGGAGGAGGGTGACGGTGATGGTGATGTTGATGGTGATGATGGTTATGGCGACGGTGATGGTGATCGTGATGATGAAGACGGTGATGGTGGCGGTGATGATGCTGATGATGCTGGTGATGATGATGATGACGACGATCATGATGATCATCATGTTGATTATGATTACTCTGCTGATGATGTTGAATTTGGTGATGATAATGAGTATGCTGATGGTGGTGATGGTGATGGTGATGGTGATGCATGATGATGCTGCTGATGAAGATGACGAGGAGGAGGATGTTGCTGATGATGATGATGGTGATGATTGTGATGGTGATGGTGACGAGGATCAGGATGATGATGATGCTAATAATGATGGTGATGAGGAGGGTGAGGATGAGGATGAGGATAAGGATGCGGATGAGCATGAGGATGGGGACGGGGATGGGGATGAGGAGGAGCGTGATGAGCAGGAGGAGGAGGAGGAGGAGGATGGTGATGGTGATGGTGATGGTGATGGTTATGATGATGATGATGCTGATGATGATGATGATGATGGTGGTGGTGGTGGTGGTGATTGTGATGGTGATGGTGATGGTGATGGTGATGGTGATGGTGATGGTGATGGTGATGATGGTGATGGTGATGGTGGTGGTAGTGACGGTGAGGATGATGATGGTGATGGTGACGAGGACGAGGAGAAGGATGAGGAGGAAGAAGGAGAGGCGGAGGAGGAGAAGGACGAGAAGGAAGAGGAGGAGCAGGAGTAGCAGGAGGAGCAGGAGACAGGGTTTGTTTGACAGAGACCGCTGCAGAGAGCCGTGCCAGCCATGATCGAGCAAGGCTGGGCAAGAAGGAGGAGGAAAGGAATAGGCGGGTGTAGAAGGGCGGAGGATGGTGGGGGGAGGGGGAGGAGGAAGGGATGGAGGAGGGGATGGGGAGGAGGAGGAGGAGGAGGATCAGAGTAAACCCAAGGAGCAACAACGATGTTGCGCAAAACCATCCGTCCAAGTTGCCTCTTCGCAGGTCCCTACAAGAATTTATGTTCATTGCGGGAAGCGTCCCATTGAGAGACAACGTCTGGGACATTATTTTTTGGGATCCCAACGCCGCCAAACAACGTGAATGCTGCACCCTGACAGTCCTGAATCTTACCAGAACATCATTCTTGTGATGAACACAGCGAATCAACGTCACTGTTGCCTCCTGACATTCCGAAGCCGTACCAGAACACCATTCCTGTGACGTCAACCCTGCAAATCCTTGAAACAGTTGCGAACTTCCAAGATGAATGCCGGCGGCGCTAAGGCGAGGGCCGCATTCTAGATGATTTTCGTAACCCCACCAGCCCATCCAGATACGATGCCCAGACGAGTTGCCCTGATCAAGGATGTGGATGAGCATGTCGTATAATAAAGGGCTGGGTTAGACGTCATACCCCAAGAGGTGGAGGATGGAGGAGAAATCGGAGGAGGAGCAGGAGGAGAAGGAGGAGCAGGGAGATGGTAAGGGGGACAAGCTAGCGTCCTATCCCTCCCTCCCATCCCTGTCCATGGCGCTGATTTTTCATTATCGGCGGACGCGTGTCGTAGCCGACCTGTGACTCTCACAGAAAGGCCGCTTCGTGTTATGCGCTATCGGAGAAAAGGGAGTTGCGTGCACGGGAGGAGGAGGTGGCGGGTGAGCAGGAGGATGAGCAGGAGGAAAAGGATGAGGACGAACAGCAGCAGCTGGAACTAAAGTGGAAGGATCGGAAGGACAAAAAGGACCAGAGATCGTAGTTTTGAAGCGGCAGATGGATTCCGCCACGGTCATTCTAAATCTCTCGTCTTTGATCGGCGAGATCAGGGGATTGATGTCGGGTGCGGGCCATGCTTATGTTTAGTTCTCTTATTAAGTTGGTGATTTTCTTATGAGGCCAGAACAGTCCTGAAATGGGCGCACGTTTTGCAACGTGCTGTCGACAACGCCCTGCAGCAGACTTGCAAGGCCATTCTGCCAGACATCATTGTGGGCAGGTGCTGAGTTGCCGACAGGGTAAAGCTTCTCATGTACACCCACATCATTTGGAAGACATTGCCCTGCGAGTGCAGAAATCGCCTGCAAGTGGGAATGCTGCGGAGCCGTTGTGGCAGATTGTATCTGCCAGAGTGGGACGTTGATCACTTGCTGGCAGTGTCACTGCGCCACACAGAGCTCATCGGCGAGATGGTCGAAGCACAGCGATCCACGGACAGTATTTAAGGTATTGCGAATCTATGTTTTGCGTGCGTGACCCCTGGGGCTCGATGCTTTTCGGTTGGTGGCGAGGTATGGTCCCATCTCTCACGTCTATATTTGATTAGCAAGCCTCGTAAAAAGAAGCGGGGTAAGCAACAACTGGTCCTAACTTATATTGGCCACGTGTTACAACCATCTTCCAATGTAGCTGCATTGTGTTTTCTTTCTTCCCATCACCAGTCATTGGCTTGAGGGCTTTCTTTTCGGGGGCAAGCATTAACACTCGGACTTGGTACTTCGAGACTGTTTATCACGTGGTGGCGGAGGTGGCAAGGTTGCGCCACCCGTGCATCAATGCATCACCAGTTATTGGCAACCCGATTAGGGGCGTGTATACACAAGAAAAATTGATGATCAGGGAAAGGCGGAGGGAAAATGAGGGGGGCGACAACGATGAAGAAATATTCGGATTCAGACAATGGGCCCGCGCGGGGGCGAGACGAACAGCAGCAACAGGAATTGGAATGGAAGGGGCGGGAGGAACAGGAGGACCAGGGGAAAGATGGAAAGGCGGAGGAGGGGCAATGAGGGATACCATCGCATACAGAAAAGTGGCCCGCGCTGGGGCGAGAGCGCCTTTATCAGCGACGGGAGCAAAGCGCCGATCCGAAAATGAGGCCCACGCTGCAGCGGGAACACAATTTTGAAACACTGGAAACAATCGGATTGCAACAAAGAGCATAAGCAAGGTAAGTTTGGAAATCCGGTGTGTAAAGAAACACCACGCGGAGGGGGCGGGAGATCTTGCGGACAACTTCAGGGGAGGAGGGAGAGTAATATTCATTGTCTCATTGCGGGGAGAGGAGGAGGAAGAGAGACGGATGAGGAAGATATCAGGGAGGAGGAGGAGG